ATTTATTTCCACCAAACCAGAGTTGGTGATTGTTGGAAACACTAACAGAGACGGTTTTAATGAGTTTTATTCTGTTTCTGTCCACTTTGAATGAAGTTAAGATGATATACGATGAAAATTGGTGTTTTTGTTTCTGGAGATTGGAGGTGAGCGGTATTACTGTGAAAATTTGACCATTTGACCGAAGTTTCCCGCAACTTTCACCAATCACAACAGTCCCCTGCACAAAGGGGCCTTTGATTTTTAATAAATTATACAAACAAAAACGCTATTACACAAACTATTTTAGGAGTTTGCTGAGACGGGAACTTTGCTGTGGTTCAGTCCGGTCTGGTTTTATGGTGGATGATGTTTTGCTCTGTGGCTGCGTTTATTAAAGTCGTATCATCGCCCTCTGTCCCTCACGTTGTTCACTGATCTCTGGTTTTATTCAGATCTTCAGATCTTCAGTGTGAGTTTGACATTTGAAGGCAGCAGAGTGGATTTAGCTGTTTGTTTATAAATGTGAAGAATATGAACAAAATGCAGCTGGAATCCAACAGAAATACGACTGTGGGAAACTCTGAATGTGTGTAATATATTCTGTTCTATAAAATCTATTTTCATCCTTAAATATTGAAAGGTGAGCTTACTAATAATCTCTGAGGTAGTTGTATATGTCAGGTTGGTCCACTGTGATGGAGGCAGTCATCAACCAGTGTTTCAGTTGTTTTAGAGACTTGTTTTACAATCACCCTGGAAATTGATTAAAATGACCAAATAATCTTAATTGTGTTTTCCTGTGCTGTTGTAGTCAATAGACCAACAGTAGGCTCCGTTCCATTCAGATCAAACCGAGAGAGGGGGCATGTTAGCTCACTGGAAAGGCTCTGCTACAATAAATGGAACGGAGCCTTTGTTAGTATCACTGGTACCAGCTGTGTTTACCCGACTGTTTCATGCCAAAATGGCTGCTGTGAAAAAGGTCTATTCAGAAAAATTGGCTGTGGTGAGAACAGCAACAGCGTCATGAAAGTGAGCGAGTGCTGCCCTGTATTGTCAAGAAAAACACCTGGAGAATGTCCTGGAAAGGTCCTGGAAAAAGATTTCTTCTTGCACTGACCAAAGTTATATTAAAAAAAACAACAAATGTATTAAAGGGATTTCGAGGTTGTGTTTCTGTGTTTTGTTCCCTCTGTTTGTGTGAACCGGTCAGACCTGGTTTCTGTTGCCCCACTTTATGTCTCAGAGTATTTTTAGCCGTTTGGTGGAAACGCTACCGAAGCGTCCTCTCTTCTTCTTCTTCTTCTTCTTCTTCTATCCCTGCGTTTTGTCCCACTTTCATCCTCACCCCTTTACATCAACCTGAATCTGACAGGAATGAGTGACAGGAGGTCAGAGGTCACACAGGATGTCGGCGTGTTCGTCCTCCGTTGGTGTCTGATCAGACGAGTTGAACAGATTCGAATTAAAGGGATATTTCGGATTCTGTGACGTGTGATTTGTGTATTTTTGTCTCCATTAAAGATCTCATTAGGAAACTGGCTTTAACTCTGAATCTTCACACCTCGCTGCAGAGTTTCACACAACCCCCACAATGCTTTGCTCACACACAAATACATGTATGAATGTGCTTTTAACCTCCTTTTTAAAATATATTTGATATTTTTAGTGCTTCATTAGAGAAGATGTGAAAAGACAGTGAGAAGAGGAAAAACAGCACTTTTAATCTAAATTAAGTCACATTGTTGTGTTTCTGTAACACGTCCTGAACTCCTCACACTCGTACGGACATATTCCTTCGTCCGTGGCTTCACCTTCACCAATATTCTCTTAGTGGTTTTCTCTCATTCTGAATTTTCTTTTAGCCACGAACACAATTTAGCCCGCAGGAGTCTGCTGTAAAAAACACGTTTTTCACTAAAGGATTGTTTATTACGTTACTATAAAGTCATTTTGAGTTTCCTGTGTAAATTAAACATCATATTTATTGTGACTGCACAGTTTGAATTATAATACACTTCTAACATGACCATACAGCCTATATCAACGATATCATCAAAGAGCTCCCCCACCCTAAAACCTGTCATCAATCTGCTGTTAAAATTATCTCAGAGCGCTGGACTTCCATCTCAGAGCTTTTAAAGTTCCTCTTTTCACTCTTCTATACAATTTTCATGAATGAACTTCCTCTGGAGGGCAGTCGTTATGTGGGGTATTAGTTATGCTCCATTATGCACCGGTGGCATTCATCGGAAGTCAGGAGCGTTTGCTGAATCTGACGTGGCACACTCAGACAAAAGAGAAAGTTCAGATAAGAATATAAAATGTTCTTTCCATGAGGTCCAACGCGTCCTGTTGTAGAAGCTTTCCTCTTTTTACTTTCAGTTTTCTTACAGCTGCTGTTTGATGTTTGCTTCCAGGATTTGCTGTATTAAGTGGAATCCATGTTTCCTGAGGCACTGGCTGCAACCCAACCATGAAACATGATAGATGCCATACTTACAGTTGGTGGAGGTGTGCTTTTCATTTTGCTAACTTCTTGAGGTCTTCTCCTGCATCAATAACTTTCACACAGCAGCAGAGAGGGACCCATGTTTTAGTAAAGGGTTGAACTTGGCAACGGCTGACAGTTCCTAATCACTACTGTTGATCTGCCTTAAACGAGCTGATTGAGGTCTGAGACTGCAGAACTTTTGCGACAATGATGTCTTTATTTCTTTATTTTTGTTCATTTTATGATAGAAAACGAAAACTATGCATGAATGTTCACTGAAAAGGTTCAGAGTGAGAACAGGTTGGATTCTGTGTGAGTTTGTGATCATCATGGATATGAAACATAGATGCTTTGAGATCCGGGGATAATGATTCAATCATTTTGTTGTCTAACTTCATCATGTTTGAGATTTTAAATGTTAACTTTCTTTGTCAGTTCTGCTCAGTTGTTGTCTGTTGGGAGGAAACAGGAAACACATTTTAGCTCTTTAGCGCTGATGTTGTCTGGTCTTGTTGACAGTCTGCAGGGCCGTCGGCAGCTTTTAGAAGAACCAGTCACAGTTTTTTAATGATGTGCTAAATGAGCTATTTTCTGTCATTTCCTGCCATTGTTGTCGCTGTCGTCTCTCCTCAGGCTCGTTAAAAAGTGGAGTTCAGGCCGAGGTGGGCTCTCCAGGTTGCAGTCAGGAACCGGAGTCTGACCTTCACTGTCAGTGATCAGGTGTAATGATCCCCTGTAGGAAATATGTGGCTGCTGCTGATACACAAAACAACAAAACATGTGTTTGTGCTTCAACGATTAATAAGACATAATCATCAACGTCTTACACATCTTTTGACAAAATTTAACTGGATCTGATCAACCTGCAATGAGTAGAACATAAAAGTATAAAACGTATCATTTCCTGTTGCCAGTAGGTGGCGCTATGACTATATCTGAATATTTGCATTAAGATGTGTTCAGGGCGAGACTCTTAACAAACGTGAAGTTTGTTGCTGATTGGACACAAAAGTTAAAGACTTCCTGTTTCTTGGACTGTAACTTTTCATTGTGAACATCTTTAGAGTCGAATGACCAAATTTAAAGTAAATATGATCAATTCTCTGGGAGGAGTTTGTTCAAACACAAACCCTGGAAACAGCAAAAAGGCACCAAAATTGGAAATTAAATTCAAAATGGCAGACTTCCTGTTGCGTTCGGGGCATGGCTCCAGGAAGCTTTTATGTAGCTGCTGCTTCGGCCCTAAAAAGTAAAAAGTGTCCACATTGTTGTTGAATATGGATGTGATTATAAGTTAAACAGACGTACTGCGCTGTGGCTCGAGTTAAAGTCAGCAGGTCGCTGTGGAGCGTCTCTGCTGCCAGAACTCTTCTTCTGTGTCCTCTCGGAGTCTGGCTGACATCTTCACACACAAACAGAAGAAGCATAAACGTCCAGCAGGGTCAGCGGGAGGACCAGCAGGTTCCCTTCAGCTGACTCAGACAAACTTTAACGATCCAATTAGAGCGACATTAATGAAACGTGGTTGAGGAGCTCCAGCCTGAACACCATCTGTTTGTTAGCACTGCGGCCTGGTTACTGCTGATTTACACCTCGACTGGTTTCTCTCCGTTAGCACTCCATCACCCGTAAGGACTTGTTGGGTCCTCATGTGCCCTTTGTGTCATAAAAAGACTACCCAGAAATCACCTGTCAATCAACCACGATGTAACGTCTTCTTGTGACCTCTGCAAAAACCCTACTGTAAAGCAAGCATTTTTTTCTTCTGCCAAAAGAAGCGCAGAAGGCCTAAACACGCTCCTGAACTCGTGAAACATGGCACACATATCAGCAGGGGTGAAAATGTACGTGTTACAGCACCGATATGTATGAGAATCAGTACGTAGATGCATCAAACTCCAAACCCAACAGGATGTCAGCCACTTAAAATTAATAATAATTAATACTAAAGCTACTTGATCAAGAGTGTTTCTCTGACTTAGCAAATTGAGTTGAGTTAAAATTTTCGATGTAATCAGTTCCAACAATTTGTTGAGTTAAATTAACAAACGTATGTATGGTTGCTAAAGACGTAAATATAATACAGAGAGAATTGTTTAAAACTTTCTCCCATTGTCGAGTGCAGTTTGTGGCCCATAATTCCTTCGGTTTCGTTTCAGGAAGTGTAACTGTTTGTTTCTCCTGCAGGTGGACCGGACGGAGGTGATTCGCAGCTGCGTGAACCCCACCTACTCCAAGGTTTTCACATTGGACTTTTATTTTGAAGAGGTGCAGCGTCTGCGCTTTGAGCTGTACGACATCAACAACAGCAGCCACAACGGCCTGAAGGAGGCCGACTTCCTGGGCTCAGTGGAGTGCACGCTGGGACAGGTGAGTCGCCTCAAAACTTTTCACAAACATATTTTACTGATTATCTGGAACACGAGATCGTGTGACCAGGCGAGCTGTCTGCGCAGCCAATGAGAGCAGCTCAACTCGCAGTACGTCACCGCCGCTGGCTGCAAAAACCAACATGGCAATGACCAACGGCAATCTCGAGCTAAGGTTAACCAGCCAGCTGCAACCCAGCCACGTTATCTGGCTGCTGATTGGTTCAAATATGACGCCCACTTCAGTCAGAAAGTTGGTCACTGTCACTTCCGTGTTTTTGGCCCATAGAGCATGCTCAGTAGAGACTTCCTGTGTTTTTATCTACAGCTGCCTTCCATGTTGAACCGCCGTGTTTCTACAGAAGCCCATAACGGACAAACCAAACACTGACTGTAGGGTATTCAGGTTTTTTTTTTTTTTTTTTGATGGACGTTTATAACCTTTAAAAACTCCCGGAGCTTCTTCTAGCTGCTCCAAACTTCACACTGTAAAGAAAACACATTTTTTTCTTCTGTCAGTTGTTGAAAATATTGATGTTTCTTCCGTCAGACAGCAGCTGAGGACATGAAAACACCATCAGAGGCTCCATTACAGCCTGAACACACACACACACAGCAGAGAATAAACTGACTGAACAACAACCTCACTCTGCTCATGTAGATTTTGACATTTTATTATCTTTTTCTCACTGTCAATCAACTGGCTGATATTCAAAATATTAAATAAAGAAAATTACAGAAGGAAATTAAAAACTCATTATCCTCCGCCTGCAGCACAGTTTCTTAAATAAAAGTGGAAAAGCAAATAATTGACTCTTAAATGTGAAAAAAACAACTAATTTACATAATAGAAACACTTAATAAGAAGATAAAGAGGTCTGAACTCATTAAGGAGATAATTTAGTATTCATACATGTTTATTTCTGTACCCGGGTAAGGACGTACTGTTGTTGTTGTAGTTGTCTTTTGGTGGATCATAAATATATTTCATGTTCACACAGTGTATATAATGGATTCCGGGTCTGAAAAGTGTCTTTAAACCTGCAGTCTATGTAACGCCCAGCAGGGGGAGCTCCACAGGCTGCAATAATTGTCATTGCCATTGTTTCCAAACCAAGACCAGCCAATGAGAGCAGCTCAACTCGCAGTACGTGACCTCCGCTGGCTCCAACAAACCACCATGTCGGCGGCCTAAACACTGAATTCGAGGCTTCAAAACGGGTCTCCACAAACCAGTGGGTGACGCAGCTAAAGGTTCACACTTGGTTCACACTCAAACCCACAGATACAGAAATACGTTCTCAATTTGTCTACGCAGTCGCCATATTGCGGAGGTCAGATCTGCCGGTTAACAACACTGAGAGATTCAGACAGCGCTACAACGTCGACTGTGACGCACAAATACATTATTTTGAGTGGAGAGTAACTCAAACCTTTTCCCTCGAAGGGAAACAGAACGGCCAGCACACTGTATTTTATTTTGACAGGATTCTCTAAGCTGTTTCTGTGTCTGACTTCCTGTCAGTGCGAACCACTCTGTGTGGATTTACGCGAGTGGGTTGCAGCTAGTTAACGGGCTGCACAACCTCCCAAGGACAATATACGATAATGCTAAGGCCTATAGCTAACGATTTTGCTATGTTAGTTTGCAATTTGTCCACGTTAGCAAGGTAGGCAGCTAAAACCACAATATGACGATATATTCCACAAGCTGCTATAAAGGAAATGTTTAGTTTTTAGAGGCTGTGATAAACACACGGTTCAGTTTGAATCTAGAATATTAATATATATATATATATATATATATATATATATATATGTATTATTGATTGGACTGTTCGGTACAGTATACAAACACTGGATATTTACTGTGAGTGAGACAATAGTTTCAAACACAATAAAATCATTTAATTTCAGACTTATGGATCATAAATATGGTCCTTTGTTTGGGGAGTCTGATGAGCACGTTCTCCATCTGCTGCCGCTCTCGTTATCAACTGCAGTTAATGCTTCTAATCGGGAAGTCTCTGCACGACGGCGGCGACAGGAAACAGCGTTGGAAGAGTCTGAACACGCAGAGCAGAAGACGAAGACGAGGAGCCGCGATGAAACAATAAGATGACGGCTGGAGGCTCTTCCTCCTCGTCTTCATCTCCTCGTCTTTAAGCCTCTGCCAGCAGTGACGCTCGGTTCGGCTGCCAGCTCCTCCGCCGGCCAGATGGCTGACGCAGCGATGGAGGTTTCTGCTAACGGGAAGAAGCTCTCAGAAAACACAGGAACAGGGAGAGAAACTGAAGAAGAGTTTCAAAGAAAAACATATTCCAGTCAGCCTTGTTTGTGTTTGTTTACAGCTGTA